AAATCTTTGGGGATGGGGGGAACCAAACCCAGAATCTTCTGAACACACTGTGGGCCCTGAAAGACATCTCCCACATACCTCTTCAGTGTGGAAAAACTACAGCCAAATATTGTACAAGGATGTATTAAAACCAGGAGTTCCAGAGGTAAAAAGGAACAACATTCTCACTTACAAGCGCATCTGAATTTTACCTCATTTTTACACTTTTAGGGAAGGACCAGCACATTAAAAGGTCACCATATAACAAAAGAAAACTTCTGTGAAAAAAATCTTCATGTGGAACTCACTGTTCCACATGTGCCAATGTATTAAGACTACCCAGATCCTTCTGAGGATGAAGTTACTTTTGTGAGCTTCAATGTAGTATTAAAATTAGACCATAAAAGATCCGGCAAACTCATTCTATTCAGCAACACTTTCCTTTTATAAGGGAAGGCCTAGTATATACTTGCTGCGGGGTTATTTTGCATGAAAGCGGTATGTTCAATTCCTGTTCTTGTCAAGTAAGTCACGATCCGCACATTTACTGGCTTTGACCAAAGCAACAGCATTACCAGACCAGCAAGCTGAGAGTCAATTCCATTAGGTGAGATGGAGAATCAAAGTTGCAAGACTCTCAAAAACCCACTCCTTTTGCAAACAGATTCACAAACCACCCAATAAAAATAATTGTAGTTGAATTCCCAACCTGAACAGAGTATACAGTAACAAAAAGAACTGACGTTCCAGTGATAACTTTACATTTTCACTATCGTGACTTCTTAAAAAACACAAGATCTGCCAGACAGCACCTAAAAGGCTGGGAACAAAATGCTTCTAAATACCAGGGGTTGAAAAGAAGCAACAGAATTTACAAAGCATCTCACTGCTGAAGGCAGCTAATCCACACAGACAAGGAAGCACTATCCATGACCGCATCAAAATGACTTTTGGGCCATTTCTCATCCTTTTTCCAACAGCTAACTTGCGGGAACACGTGGATCTCCCCCTGCTCTTCTCAAAGCTCCTGACCATGGCTTGTTGGAACGTCAGCCTAGGTACACAAGGCCCGATTTTGTAAGCACTTGGCAAAACCCACAGGGGAAACTCCTGTATTTGCGGATTACGTAACTCGTCCCAAAGAATTCGGAAAGCAGGAGTTTTCAACATTTTCATGCTCCTCGCCAACAACCGCAATGCTCTTTAAGGGACAAGAGACTTTAAACGGACTGTTTCTGATGGGGGATGAACAGCCCTGGGGGCCGGGGCGACAGGGGAAGGAAGGAAGGAGGGAGGGCGGCTGGGTGGGCATCGGGAGCATCAGCGCTGCGGGTGGCGTGGGATGGCGCAGGGCTGGGTGGCAGCGGGCAGGGGACTGGCACCGGCGAGCGCTCCTGCGGGCAGGGGACAGGGGCAGATGCT